ATTTAAAATGTTAAGATAGCTATAGCTTCATAGGAAGTTAAATTTAAAATTTTATAATTATTTAATTAACTATTGAGCCAATTTGATCAGTGTTAGCGAAGGACTTATTCATCATCAAATTGGCAGTCGTTAAAATTGAATATATGCATTTAACCGCACGTGGGCAAACTTTGACGCCCCGGGCAATGGACATTTTTTTTATCACCCACTTGTTAATCACATGTTTAAATATTAGTCACCTATTTTTATTCAAAGCTCCATTATTGTTTTTGGTTATTTGTTGGGCAATAACCTCTAAGCTTATTGGGTCAACTACACGATTTAATTTCTATTTCCATAAATATTTTCGTATCCGACCTATCAATGGCATGAATAATTCAGTTTGTTGGTCTTTCTTTCTTCCAAAAGGCTGAACCCCAACCCGACAGAACATTTGGAAGGATGTAAATCATGGTAACTCAACTAAACATGAACCACAGAGGTTAGATCGGTGCTCACTGCGCACAAGGAGCCCCCCTCACTTTGAGAGGTTGCTCCCACGCTGCCGCTAATAAGATTTGATCCCTGGTCATTCTTCCAAAGTTTCACCTCTATGACCAGTTGAGCTACCCATGCAGGCAGTTTGTTGGTCTTTCTTAATCTAACATTCCGTAGTGTCAACATAAATCAATTGGATAATTAAAGATGGAATATATAAACAAATAGACAAAGCGATGAAGAGGTTAAAGCTCATAGTCACTTAGCTTGAGTGATTTCGGAATAGTATTTTAGTATATTAGAAGAGTTTAAATCTATTTTCCTATACAATGAAATAATCTTTATACATATACTCCGTATAATCTAAGGTGTTTGATCACTATAGAGTAGGCATGACCACGATTCCGGTTCTGATTCGTAACCGGAACTAATAAGATTCCGGTTAAGATTCTCGTAATAAAGGAATCGGAACCGTCGGTTCCAGTTCCAAACCGAAAAAAAAAAATTGAAGTTGAAATTTGAAAACTAAGCCAGCAGGCCAATAGCCATGCTATTGGTCTACTGGCCAATAGCATGACTATTGGCCAAAAATATTATAGTTCTTTTTTTTTTTTTTTCATAAAATCAATCCGGTTAGAATCAGAACCGGAACCTTACTATAAGATTCCGATTTCGGTTTGACGATTTTCAGAACCAAAATCGATAGTTTCGATTCGGAATCGAACCGGAACCGGAATCGCGGTCACCCCTACTATAGAAGTGTTGATGGAGTATATTGACATGTGTAAGTAAGCTAACTACCCTGTGAAGGGTGCATCTTAATTTGGACGAAAATAAATCAGATATTTATAACTGATTATCTTGAACTTGATGCTAACCGCCTTTGTCTAGTCTAGTACTGAATTTGTTCAGGAATGAGAGGCCAATTCATTAAATTGACCGAATTTTAGTAATTTTCTCTAACCAAACAATAAAATTTTCACCTTTATTAAATTCCATATATTGTAAACAAATTACAATTCAGGCAAATCAAATATCCCATTAAGAATGAGAAAGTATAGCGGAGATAAAGATAACCTCATCAGCAAAACCTTTCCTATTAGAAGTTACTGTATCTTTGACTGCCATTGCATTTAAGTAAGACAAAAAATAGATTAAAATATAATTGTGTGGGAAGACTCCTTTAGAATTCAACAACTATGTCAGCTCAGAAGCTAAATCGAGTGTTCAGTCTTCAAGTATGCTTGTGACGGTGGCAGACTTTTGGCCTCAGACTTGAAAACATATAAGTGAGCAGAGCCTATATTATATTGCACCGCCACCATCTAACACCAATCATCTAGATAGATACCTACCCACCTCCAAATTGTCAAGAAGAAGCTAAGAAGATAGATAGATTTCATTAGTCTCTAATAAATTAAAAACTCTATTACTTTTAAAAGTGAATTATATTATCATCATATTTGTAAATTCAACACTATTTTTTTTTTTACATTATTATAATTTAACGTAATTACTTCCAAAATAATATAATAAGTAAAATTATTTTAAAAGAAATAAGTTACCAAAACCTGCCAAAATCAACTTTTGAAAGGCTTGAACCACACTTGCCAGCCTTACAATATGTAGCAACACAAATAATAATAATAATAATAATAATAATAATAATAATAATAATAATAATAATAATAATAACAATTTCGGTCCAACGAGCTAAGTATTAACAAAATGACAATTTTGGTTCACATGTTTAATTTCTACCAATTTTCATTCACGACTATTGTTTTAGTACCAATTTTCATTAACGACCTAATGAAGTAGCGCATACACCAATGTAGGAAATTAAAAAAAAAAACATAAAAAACGACAACCAAAATATTGTAGCTTCTATGCACTTGATATCCACTCGAAATGCAAACGCCTATACAAAAAATCAGAATCATATAGTTGGTTATTTAATACAAATAAACTAGCACACGAGAAAATTCGGAAACAAGTACACGCTCGAATGAAGGTGTGCACACACCAACTTAGGAAATTTTTTAAAAAAAAAACAAAAACAAAAACAAAATTGGCAAACACAACACTATATCTACTACGCACTTACTATCCACTCGAAATGTAAATGCCTAAGCAAAAAATGCACGCTCAGTGTTGCAAAGGTTACCTTTGCACACACCCGTGAGAAGTAACGCACACACCAAAAAAAAAAACATATAACCATTCACGTGCCCCGCGAAACACCACACAAACCATCAAAGCACTCTTACAATTTGCACACACCCACCTAAATAAGCGCAACCACCATCGAACTAAAGTATTAAAAAAAAGGATGGTGCAAAGTTCCATTACCAGAAATTTGCACACACCATACCACATGCACAATAGCACACACCAATGCAACATTAACTTACGTCAAATTTACAAATGTACATACCTGTGTTTTTAGGCGCCATTTGCAAGCTATGTAGGATTGTAGAATACCGTTTCTTATTTGCACGTTAAAATATCAGAATACACAGTATACCCAATTATTACAATTGATACGATCCCTAATATTATGGTAAAGATGCTATTTAAATTAGCACCAAAATTAAACATCATCACATAATTACTCTTTCACCCTTCTTATTTAAATTTGTTCTTAATTAATTGAGTTTTGACCTTCAATCCTACCCATCCATCGTAAATTGATTAATGGAACACACACACACAATATATATATATATATATATATATATATATATATATATATATATATAGCCGAACCTGTTGTGCCCCATTGACTAAGAAAGGGCGGACGCAACAACTAACTACATGAACCCCTTCAATTCCTTTCTGTTGTTGTCAGCGCTTTCCCGGGCCGAGCTGGAGGTAGGCAAAGCCCAAAGGCTGCTATCCCAATAAGCTAGCGGACGAAACGAAGAGGGGGCCCGACAATCATACCACATCGGTTAAAAAAGCGTGTTCCCTTTAGATAAGACGCACCGTAGGCCATCCTCGACCTTCTTTGTTATTATATATATATATATATATATATATATATATATATATATATATATATATATATATATATATATATATATATATATATATATATATATATATATATAGAAGGGTTCAGGTGCGGAGAAGGGTTCCCGTGCGGTTGTCGCACCTTAAGCATTAAAATGGCGCATCTTAAGTACACGTAAAAACCATGCACAATACGCACAGAAGCAAAGCACCTTAAGAACACAAATCACGCACCTTAAGCACACAACAAACACCTTAAGAACACAAACCACGCACCTAAGATTTTAAAATGGCTCACCTTAAGTTTCACACAACTGACACACCTTAAGCATACAAATCCCCCACTTTATGAAGGAAAACAACGCACCATAAGAAAGAAAATCACGCACCTTAAGTTTCAACAACTACTAACATTAAGCACAAAACTCCAATGTGGGACAGAATTGTTAATAACTCCAAGTATTTTAAAAAAACATAGTATATTTGATTTGCACCCTTGCATGCGAAAGAGAGAGTCTTTATGCACTAGTAAACTTACATCCCATTCTAATGTGGGACAAAGGCTTCTTCTTCCAAGCCTTCTTAACTCTACTTTTCAATTCAAATGGTTTTATTTTGAAAATTAATTTCTGAATAACACATTAACCATTTTGAGTGTATAATATATTAATTTTTTCGTCTTACTTCGAAGAATCCGAATGTACTTAGATCCAACACAAATTGAAAGTGAACCCACATATATTTGTGCAACAAAATAACCACTTAAAATGTCTTTTTTACTAAAAAAATATTCCAACAATATATAGTAATAGTAGAAGAAATGTGGAAGTGTTCAAACGAATTTACATGGTTAGCTTGGGTAGTTGAACCAGAGGAAGGGGAGGGCAGAGACACTTGGAAATTACCTCCTTCCCATTAGTTTTGCTAGACGTTTTATGATCTCATGTAGTCATGTTTCAAATTGAAGGACTGAAATAGGTAGAGATTTAATAGTATAAACAATTGAACAGAATTGAAAGTTAAGAATTAAAGTAATAAATTAGTATAGTCAGTTGAGTAACATATTAAATAATCTCATTCAACTATATATGTCAAATAGTATTATAGTACAATAAGTTTAATATAAAACAATATTGTCCAAGTAGAATATCCCTAATTGTAAGCAAAGGTTTAACATGAGATACTAATAATTTACGTAATTAAATTCGTCAATATTCGTTAGCGTGTTGAGTTCGTAAATCGTAATGAAAAAATAATAATATTTTTTTGAGAATAAAAAAATATTATTATTAATTCACCTACTTTTTCTGGTTTACCAATTACCATTTATGTCCAGGCTCCAACTCTTGCCTTTTAAGCAGACCTTTTTCCATTATTTCTTAATTTTCTTCATTTCCTTTTCTCTCAACCTACCTATCAACACAGATCCATTCTTGAATATGCATAAATAATCATATACATATTCCATATACTGTTTTCTGTGGAGATCTAAGTTAAAGATTTATAGCTTTAATTGGATGGAAATGGAGAAGAAGTTGAAGACGGAGACGGAGGCGTCTCCGTCGCAGACGGCGGCGTTGAATACGGTAACCCCTTGTGCCGCTTGCAAGCTTTTGAGGAGAAGATGTGTGGAAGAATGCCCTTTTTCTCCTTATTTTTCCCCTCATGAGCCCCACAAGTTCGCCGCCGTTCACAAAGTCTTTGGTGCCAGCAATGTCTCCAAGCTCATCATGGTAATCATGCGTTTACAAATTTTGAAACTTTTTTTTTTCTTTTTTGGGGAAATTCTACCATGGCATCCATGTCAAGCTATAACCTTTTCACCGGCTATAGTATATGCTATAACCTAAAAATAAACATTGTTACATGTTTTTATTGGCGACGGGAGAAATCAGTAATTACTATTTGAAAATGATTATGTAGTAAATTAAACCTACCCTTTTAATTTTAACGGTCTAAATATTTAGGTTGCCTGCCAATAGACAAACTTATAACCTTAGGTTGTTATCAAGTCAATAGCTGTAATAAGGTGGTGAGTTACTTTCACTAAGTAATCTAGATGGGTGTTAATCGACACTATTTATAACCCAAAATCATACATATTTCTAGTATAAAAAGCAAATTAAGGCTTAATATTTTTGTTTATATATATATATATATATATATATATATATATATATATATATATATATATATATAATTCAATATCTCCCAGTGAGACCATCTCACGAATTTTTATCCGAAAAATAGGTCAGTTCAAGATAAAAATGTAACACTTGTATTGAAAAAATATAATACTAATAAGGAATAAAGTGTCAATTATAGTGTAATACTTTTGAGAAAAAATGTAATATTTCTAAATCACATTTCCCCGTATAAGTATTACTTCCTGGTCTTATTTTATCTGTCATACTTATGGTTAAACTAACTCTTTCTTCTTTGCTAATTTTTATTAGCATTTTCTTATAATTTTTAAATTTGATATATATTTTTGTGTTTAATATAGTTTTTAAATATATAGATTTTAATATAGTTTTTAAATATAGATTTTAATATAGTTTTTAAATATATAGATTTTAAATACTAATTCTAAACTTAATATTATGAAATATTAAACTGTAAATAACTCCAGTTAAATCCCGTTAATAGAATTAACACATAAAATGGGAGGGAAGGAGTATGTTTTTATCTTCACCCAATTCGTCTAACTGATGATGATCGGTGAGATGGTCTCAAACAAGTTTTTTGCGAATAAAATTTGTGGGTGTATGTGCAGGAGGTTCCGGTGAGGCAAAGAGCAGACGCGGCCAACAGTTTGGTGTACGAAGCGAACGTGAGGCTGAGAGATCCGGTGTACGGCTGCATGGGTGCCATTTCGGCTTTGCAGCAACAGCTTCAGTACTTACAGTCTGAACTTAACTCTGTGAAGGCTCAACTTCTCAGATACAAGTATAGACAAGTGGTGGTGAACGGTGGCACTCAAACGCCGCCGGTTTTAATGAACTCCATGGCCGTATCCGTGGCGGAGCCGCCACAAGCTCCTCCCCACTCTTCTCCGTCTTTGTTTACAACCTCTTCTAACATGGCCAGCTTTAGTAGTGTCATGCAAAATAATAACAACATTTCGTTTTTTCAATGATATATTCATAGTTATAGAGGGCAACTATTTTTTGTGAGCCTCAAAATATATCTTCATATATAATAACTTATATATATATTTTGAAATGTTAAGTGCAGTTCCATTTAAAATCCTATTTGATTCGCTGAGATTTAAAGAAAGTATATTTTGCAGGAAGTAGATGTAAACGAGGCCCGGTTGTAAATTGAGATACAATACATTTATCTTTTATTTTAGTACAATATTAAATATTGAAATCTATGATGATACCCAAATCTCTTTCGATGACAAGAAATGTATGTATGTGAAGTAACCTCCAGTCAAGTTAGTACACCATTTTATTAGTTGAATACAAAGTTTCAAATTTGATCCTTTTTTTTTTTTTTTTTTTTTTTTGAGTATTATCGTTAGAGTAGTTATTGACCTTTTTTGATTTGAGCAAGTCAACTATAAATAATCTAAACTAATTTATTTTTAATCTTTTATTGTTAGTAAGGTTACAAATGCACATTTTCTTGTAAATCAAAGAAATAATATATGTATGTGTTTCTTTAATTTGGGTTAACTATTTTTTAACTTTACTGGGTTGGGAGCAATGACGGACCTAGAAATTTTGTTCAGTGGGGGCGAAACGCATCAAAACAAAAGAGATGGTTTGATAAAAAATAAAACACTTAAAATATAGTCATAAATATTATTGGATGTGGACGAAAAATAAACAACATCAAAACATTATAAAAAATATTCATGACAAAATATTAAACATAATTAATTTGATAAAATAATTCGAATAAAAAATACATTATAAACACATCTCATTATTAATATAAAAGAAAGTTATATATATGTGTGTAAAGTTATATATATGTATGTGTAAATCTCACAATTAATTAATACAAAATATAGAAATCATAAAAATTATAAAGACATCTCATTAAATTATAATATGAAGTATATAAAAGTCATAAAAATAAAACATGCTTGCACACTTTGTAACCTAATTCGCGGGAGTAAATCTGCACACACGGGGGATTCGAACCTAGGCCTCTTAGAAAGACAATACACACGCCTACCACCTGATCTAATCACCCTTTCTTAACTTTTATATCTATTTTAGAGTTAATTCCATCAATGGTCCCCCGAGTATGGTGATTTTCCACAATTGATCCTCGACTTTTAATTTGGACAATTTAACCACTCGACTATCAAAATCTTTCCAATTGTGGTCCTTCCGTCAGATCTAGTTAAGTTGACGTCAATTTTAAGGATAAAAGCGTCATTTCAGTCTTCCCTCCCTCTTCCGTCTTCTATTCGTCGACGGTGCAGCAGACCACGTGAACTGCGTGGCTGGGCGCTTGGGCGGTAATGATGATAGATGGTGGTGGTCGTCGGTTCATTCTTTCTCTGCAGCTAAGCAGACAACTTCCAAGCTCGACAATGGCCGTAGCTTCCAAGTTAACATCAAGTGTGGTTGGACCAAAGTTCTAATCTATATTGGTGAGGATTATCATAACATTTTTCAAGGGAGTTGTTGGATTTAATTAATACGGGGGTATGCCCGAATCAATAAACCCGGATAGAAAACGAGTAACAAATAAATAATGAACGATGTTGTAAAAGGCCGTGAGACCGTATATTGTATTAATCGCCGTAGTGGCCGGGGTCGGCCTCTGCGACGGTCGTCCCCCTCTGCCGAGGTCGTGCCATCCTCCGGCGCCGTGGTCGTGCCAACCCCGGGGTAGGCCGACCTCGCGCGCCGACCTGCCATGCCGAGGTCGGGCCGACCCCGACCTCGGCCTAGGGTCATGGTCCTCCAAACCGTCCCTGATTTTTTTTTTTTCGAGCCTAAGCACTCGGGCTCCTCCGTCGGGGTTGGTATGCGAGATCGGCCCTCGTGCCCCCTTAGGGTGCGTCCTCCGTCGGGGTTGGTACGCGAGGTCCGGCCTCGTGCCCCCTTAGGGTACGTTAGCCGCTTGAGCTAAGTCCTTCCGGACTACGCCACCGGGCTCTTCCGTCGGGGTTAGTACGCGAGATCGGACCTCGTGCCCCCTTAGGGTGCGCCTAACCGCTTGGGCCCAGTCCTGTCAGACCAAGCCACCGGGCTCCTCCGTCGGGGTTTGTACGCGAGGTTAGACCTCGTGTCCCCTTAGGGTGCGCGTTAGCCGCCTGGGCCTAATCCTTTCGGACTGTGCCACCGGGCTCTTCCGTCGGGGTTGGTACGCGAGGTCGGACCTCGTGCCCCCTTAGGGTGCGCCTAACCGCTTGGGCCCAGTCCTGTCGGACCAAGCCACCGGGCTCCTCCGTCGGGGTTTGTACGCGAGGTTAGACCTCGTGCCCCCTTAGGGTGCGCGTTAGCCGCTCGGGCCAAGTCCTTTCGGACTGTGCCACCGGGCTCTTCCGTCGGGGTTGGTACGCGAGGTCGGCCCTCGTGCCCCCTTAAGGTGCGTCCTCCGTCGGGGTTGGTACGCGAGGTCGGACCTCGTGCCCCCTTAGGGTCCGCGGGGGGAAGACATGAGTGAGCACTCGTTCCCCCTTTGTTCCATGATTTTTTTTTTATTCTTTTTTATTTTTATTTTTTTTTTTGTTTTTGTTTTGGAGAACCAATTTCGTAACAAGGGTCCTCCCCACAACGTGTTTCGGGCCATGAAACTTTATTCCGCTTATTGTTGTTCACTAAGACATTATTGAGGGAGGGGAATGGTCCTCCTCCTAAAATAGCAATGCCAAGATCCACCTCTTACATGGCCGTCATGGTGTGGACCTGGGGGTCCTTCTGACCAATTTGGCGACACGCCTTCAAGTAGCAAATACGGCTCACCTTTTGGTCCCCTCGGGCGACCCCGACCGCGGTCGGTGTTGGGAATTTGAGGCACAGGTGCTCCATGGAAATCACGCACCTGAGGTCCTCTAGGGCGGGTCGGCCGAGAATGATGTTGCGGGCGCAGTTGATTTTGACGACTACGAACTTGACCTCTCACCACATTATGGCAGAGATGCGGCGATGCGTATGTGTCCTAGCAGATGAAGGAGTCATGTTCCGGATGGAGTTTCCATCATTATCACAAGAAGTGCACTTTGACGTCACCTATAAGGCTGGGACGCGGACATCTCGGGGTCGGCATTTTGGGGGGTCGGCCGGAGCATCTACTCTCCTTCACTGACGATTACTCGCAGCTCGGAGAGTGGGGGACTGATGACGGATATATTGGGAATCGCCCCGAACCGACCCGAGGGCGCGAAGCAAGAACGGGTCCCGGGGCGGCGCCACGTACCCGCCCCGGCCGAGGCCTCGCCACGTGGCCCCCGCACAGGGCCACGTTGGAGGCCGGGCCTGCCTCTCCAGGAGGCTGGGCCTGCCTCTCCAGGAGGCCGGGCCGGCCTCTCCAGGAGGCCTGGCCTGCCTCTCCAGGAGGCCTGGCCTGCCTCTCCAGGAGGTCGGGCCTGCCTCTCCAGGAGGCCGGGCCGACCTCCACATGGGCTCGACCTGGGCCCATGATGAGCTCGGCCTGGCCCCCACAGCGCGGCCCGGTCGCGAGACCGGGCGCGGTCAACCCCAGATCCAACTACCCCCCGTTTTAGGGGGAGGCGGTTGGGGGCTTAGCTTGTATAAAAGCCCCCCTCCTTGTCCTAACAAGGGACATGCTATCTACACTCTATTTTCCAGACACACTTTGTACTGAAGAATCTTTGTAATAGCCGAATACTACGACAATTAATACAATATACGGTCTCACGGCCTTTTACTACATCGTTCGTTATTTATTTGTTACTCGTTTTCTATCCGGGTTTATTGATTCGGGCATACCCCCGTATTAATTAAATCCATCAGGAGTATTGTAGACAAAATTTCATTTTTTTTCCCATATTCATGTGTTGTTACCCTCCTTGTGAACGCATTGTTAGTGATTGTCAAAAGATTCGAATAAATATTTCATGCCAAGAAAGATATTGCAGAGACAAAATGGAAAGACTCAACACTGAACAACATTCAAGACTACATAAGAAAGCTTAACCAGTAGGACAATACACAAACTGTTTCATTGTCCAACTAATTGGATTGCACACAACAACGTTATTCAGCAGAAGCACAAGAATATTAATGCAATAGGGATGAACAAACAGGTTAAAACTTTTTAACGGAACTTTAAAACAAAAAAAAAAAAAAAAAAAAAAAAAAAAAAAAAAAAAAAAACCTCAACACTATTGCTTTTCTTCTTTATCTTCATGCTGTTTCCATCAGCTTTGAAGAACAGAATTTGGTGAACCACAGGCAAAAGCATCCCTAACAAATTTCTGGTAGATAACAGAACCACAGCCAATTCCAAACTCCTCATTGCTTTTCTCATCGAGGCAATACCCTTTAATTAACGTCGAGAGAGCTAGCAATTCTGGTCGAGTAGCTTACCAGCAACATCAGCATGAACAGTGACATAAATGAACTCAATTTCCCTGCCAATGTACTCCAGCAGTAGAGCAGATGGCGAGGCAGTGGCGGTGCATGGTGTCCGGCAATGAACTTCAGAACCAAATCCTTGAGATCACCATAATCTCTCGCATCTTGCAGCGAATCTGGCTTGACTGTGCATAGCATGTTCTCTTTTGCTGATTAACACGCTTCTTAGTAAATCCAATGCAAAACATCCTCAGTGTATAGTTGTCAGTGGTTTTAATATCCATGTGAGCCTTAATCAATGATTACCACTTCTTCACCAATGACCTCAACTTATCAGTTGTGAAGTCCGTACCCCAGACGTTTGTCAGGACATTCTTTCCTTGAACATCTTCAACTCTAAGACGAATCTTCCTGAAGGCATTATCCTCATCATTCTGGATATCTGCAAATGATACCTCAAACACACGATGCTTCAGACATTCAGAAGCAACGAGTTCTGAGCATGGGTAACGAGCGTCTTGCCGATGTTCTTGGTGCTGAACATTGACAGAGCAGTGATATCGTACCAGTTCTTCTTGGCGAATGGATCAAGTGATCAACTGCCTTCTTCTTTCCTCCCTTCTTCCCGTTGGAGATCCTCTTGTTCTTACATACGGCCATTGTCGAGCTTGGAAGCTGCCTTCTTAGCTACGGAGAAAGAATGAATCGACGACCACCCCCAACTGCCTTCATTACCGCCCAGCCACGCAGTCCACGTGGTCTGCTCTACTCTGTTATACCGTCGACGAAGAGAAGACGGAAGAGGGAGGGGAAGATCGAAATGACGCTTTTAACCTTCAA